GGGGAACAGAAGAGTGTTTCAAAGATGCAAAAGACAAACACAAAGGTAGAACAAAGGTGAGGTGAGTACTGTGAAAATAGTCGAATATGACATACAGTGGAGTGATGATTGTTTGAAGTGAGAAGTCAACTGCCAGTTAATAGACTTTTTTGCCGTATGAGTATACGTTGCCCAGGATGCACCACGTGGAGTTAAGTCTATCGCACACCCCAAGATAAGAAAGATAATTTGGAAATCTTTTACAAATGTCTGCTTTTCATTTTTATTAAATTCGGATTGTTTTATTTAAACTTGTTTTTTTAATCCATATGTAAAAGGCGTAAAACGAGAATTGACTGATGGAAAAAGCTCGATATATTCTAGCTAAATTTCTTTTGGGGAAGTCGGTATTTATGACTGATGTAATTATACGGACGATCAAATAAAAGGCAGGATAAATTATATCGTCGGATTCATAGTTAGAAATCAATTTATTAATATTAGTGCTTGTTGACTGGTTAAATTAATTCCACGATTGGTCATCCCATCACAATCGTTTCACATTAAATCCAAATCAAAAAGTTGAGGGCATCAAATAACTTTTTCGATACGGTTCGAAGCCAATTGAGTTAGCTCAAGATGACCCAAAAATAACTATATAACAACTTTACAGTTTTTGCTCATGCGGAGTTGTTTGAATATGGGGCTTTCCATGCTGACATCCCCTACGTGTGCCTTCCAAAATGCTACTCTTCTCTATAATAATCGGCAGAATCAGACCTAAATAGTAAGAATGGAAGGTTATGCAACTCGATTTGAAAAGTTTCATATAGTTGTCAATTCCGGTGGCTTATTCTTTTTATGTTGATTTATATGCTGGGTAAGCACATGTTGATGAAATGAAGACGTAAAATTAAAATGTTCTTAAATGAAAAAGATAAATGTCAGTTACCTGAGAGCCAAATACCTGAATCTTTCTTTGTTGAATTGGTAAAGCACGATTTGGTACGACCCGCAAATGCTATATATTTTGGATCGGATGTTACTGACAAATGTGATTAATTAGTTTACATCATTATGGCCTAAGCTTCGGGTTATTTCATTAAATGTAAATTTGTGCTAAGTGAAACCGACCGTGTTCTTAGATTTTGTTAGTGCGAATGCGCTTCTTTCTGCAAACCTGGGCAATCACTTTTCTTCTTGGCATTTTCCTCGGTGAGTATAATTCTGTCTATTCATTTGTTTATATAAATTATAGAATTCACAATAATAGAAATATTATTTTACATCATTTGGAAAAACTGTATATTTATTTGTGTATTTCTAACAAAATTAAAAGATTTTGGTCTTTCAATTGACGTCTAACTATTTCAGATAAAGTTGCCGCGTGTAATTGCAAGATGGAAGGAGAACTATGTAACGTTAAGGCACAAGACTGTTGCCTGTTTTTATATTGCTTCAGGTCTATTGAATGCGACAACATTAGGCATCAGATTCCAAGGTGTGTTGCTTACTCAATTAAAAAAATAACTCGCCGACGTGAAAACGGTTGTAATTCAACTTGATGCGAAAACTTTTAAACTTTATTTAATGGACTATTAGTTTATAATGGATTAATTAGTGATTATTATTTTATAAAAGAGCATTAAATTGGAATAATAAAATGAATTTAATTGTGATATATCTCCATTGTCACTTATAATATTTGAATAAATCAAACATATAATGCACGGTGCTTATATATAAATGAATAGGTTTTGTAAATTTATCTAAGAAAGTTGAAAGATAGGCCAATCAAAACCAAAGAAGATAGGGATCAAGGTATTGGATTAATGGAATCATTGAGTTCTTTTAAACGGATTATTTCTCATTTATATTAATCTTTGTGAAAGTTCATTCAAACGGTGGCAGGAATGATAAAGATACTAGGAAATACTTGCTACCCAGATGTGATGGAGAATACCATAAATGTTAGTAATTTTGATGAGTCGCACGCAAAATAATCTGATGAGTTAAAAATTATTTCCTACTTGAGGAGACTCTAAGAGTATACAACTTATCAACACTTTCTTACCATGAAAGGGAGTGAAAAGAGGTTTATACATGAACCATGGAGTCTGTGCGCCTCAATGGATCAAAATTAAAGAATTACAGAAAGTGATATGGAGAGATCCCAGTTCTTATTTGAATTTCGCTTCAAATATAGCAAATATAATTATTTTAACTTTCGGAATTTAAACTTTCGGCAATCATTTATGAATGCTATTGTCTAATGTAGGAAGATATATAAGCATAGGCCTTGAGTCACCTCGTTTTTACACAGGTAACCTTCAAAGATTTGAATAATATATATAATACACTCAAAATTCGTAAGTATAAATTGAACTAATCTATTCAGAACGAAAATACTTTGTTATTCAAGCTTCATATCCAAATTGAGACATTTCGCAATTTTCTTGATTTACGCAAATCTCAATACTATTTAAGACGCAAATATTGGATTTCTCTCAAATGTATATATCTAATTTCCAAAAACAGTCTTCATTTAACATACATATGGCATCAGATTTCTCATTTTGCTCTGTTATTAACAGTGTTTAACTCACTATTAATATACATATAAAGCTTGGAAACGATATATTTTACCAAATTATATTGCAAAATTGTTTCGAATAATTTGGCGTAACATTTCTTCCTTACATTTGGAACCTCCTCTTATAAAAGTTATCATCTTGCTTTATGCGATCATGAAATTATGCCTTTTAAACATTTTATTTATGCAGAAGTCCTATAATATGCTGAAATACAAATAATAATAAAGCTTTAATACAAAATTTAAGAAATCATGATCAATTAAAATAATTAACTATAAAGTTCGATTTGTTGAAGTATTAAAACTAACTTTTAATATTTTGTTGTTATGAATCAAACATCAGGTTCTTCTAGGCCGATCGTACGATATGTGGCTCATTTGAGGCTCACGGTGTCCCTATTGGGCATATTTATGAATTGTTTCTTACGCCTGGATTAGCAATGAATAAAATTAGGTCTCTCTCTGTTAAACGGTTAGTCTAAATTTACTTAACTATCGAAATACCTTTAGGCTTTCATTTAATAGGAAGGTGAAATGTGCGCTTAATATTGACCAAAAAGTCAAATCGCTTGCAGCTATCAGTGGTGGTATGGCTGTCTCTAAAAATTAAATCACTCCCTTAGATTCATCTCTTCTTAATGATGATGATAAGGAAACCTCTACTCTCAGGCATAAGAATACAATCCTTAAGATCCGATCTTGTGTTACAATTGATGACCCAGAATTAGTTGCTAAATTTCAGAATCTATTCGATAAAGACTCCTCTGAAGTCCTTCTAAAGCGCTATAAATGTGTATATATCAATCAATCTAATGTTATTTTTGGGAAAATGTATATATCCAGCAATTATCTTTGCTTTGTGGAGAGCAAACTCCGCAAGTTAGAGGTTTGTTTCCCTTTATATTCTAATTGGATCCCATCATATAGCTCGTCATTCGACTAGAGGACGTGGAGGACTACACTACAGATGATAATGGTGTGAACATTTTTGCTCACGGGCAAATTCACACCTTCAGGGAATTTAGCAGTGAATCGTGGTTGGGATTTCTTTCGAATTACCTTAGACTTATCAAAAAGACAAATAACCCTGTAAAGTTAGAGGTTGGCGCAGATTATTCCTCTATTAGTACTTCGATCTCTTCACTTTGCCATAGCAATGCTTCGATTGGTACAAGTATCCTGAAATCTACTGAACTGAGCCAATGCCCCTTGTCCACAAAGAGTAAGTCTATAAGTTGATAATTTACTTTTATTTCTATGAAGAAACATGTTCACGATTTCTCTCTCCCGTTCTATTATCACTTTTAGTAATTAGGATGAGGTATTTTGGTCGTTCAGTGAAACCAACTTGTCCCTTATCCGTGAACTTGTGTTGCTAAAAATGATCTTCCAAATTCCTTTTAGGAGTTATTAGTTTCCTATATACTGATGAATAGAATGATTAGAATAATTTTCTTTGTGATGGTTATTTTAGTGGCCGTTTTTTCCGACTTTACCTCTCTAGAGGCATGTCTTTAGTTACCTTTTTAACGAAGGAACTCTTTGTGTAGTGCTTTAGCTACAATCTGAATTTGAATTTTTTTCGCTGCTTAAATGTCTCTTATCAACTTCTTTGTTTGATAGCGAGACACTAGTTAGAAGCAGTTCTTATAAAGTGTTGGTTTCAATAATTTTAAGTTTATGTTTAACTTTACAGGTTTCAAATTACTAGTCAGTTCGTGCTAATTTAGCTCATGATTTGGACAGTTTGTTTTCGAGTTCATATTCATCTTTCTAATTGTTTGATTGATTTCAGATCCCAAAGGCCAAAACAATTCACCACTGCCTCAATCCTCTTCGTCGCAATTACCCCAAACTCCCCAGCTTTCCGCTCATCGCGTATCGAATTTGAAAACCCCGCTGGACAGTACAATCACTATGGTGTCTGATGTGGCCTACAAGGCTTCATGCATCCCCCTCCTCATTCTTACACGAGTTCTCAGTTTTGGAATGGGAATTGCCACGAGTTCCCTTCAAATAACCGCTCCCTTCAACTTTCTTCCTCCTCGTGCTTTTACCAAGAATATCGCCTATTTTGTGTAAGTCTTCCTCCTTTTCCTGACGTTTAGAGCTCATTATTTCTCGCTTATTAGAGTTCTTTCCCCTCTTCAAGCACGTCTGCCTCAGAATAGACATTAGAAATTATTTAAATCTTGAAAATCCAGGTTTTATATGTAGTTTGCGTCCTTTTAAGGACACAGTCCTCGTCCTTCCAAGTACGGCAGAAAAAAGCGACATGGTTTTTTATGTTTGACCTAAGAAGAAGTGCAAACAGCCCTCACCAGTTTGTTTGGGTTTGAATTTCTTGATAAAATTCAGGCAAACTAAGCTCGTGTGTGATTTGAAGTCAGCACAGGATGCAACTTTATTGTTTTCCTGTGCTTATTCTCGATCTCGTTGCATTGGAAACAGTGTGGAATCAGTTCTATATATCTATCTCTCCATACCATAGATACTTGGCCACTAAATAACACACTTGGTAACTTATGTTGTTTATTTACGAAGGAGATATTATTCTCTTGGAGGCCTTTTATTGAGCTTGGTTTATGCGTCAGTTAGTTCCAATTATTGTCTCGACTAATTGTCAAAATGCCTTGGTGTTCGTTGTACTATTACTTCATAAGAGTTCCTTTTAATTATTAACACAACCGAGTGTCTGATTGGGAAATAAAAGTTCTTCCATCTTCCGTTGGGGGCATTAGATGCTTGTTTTTGTAATCGAGTACGATTCTCGTGACCTTGATAATTATCAGGTGATTGTGGTAATGGTGATTTAATGAGTATGCGTAAAGTGGAGCTAGCTAAACGCCCCCATGCCTGGCCTTGTGCTTCACTTGAGACGTGCTAAATAATTTTTATGCTCTGTGTATCTGGTTATAAACACATGTAATCTTGGCAGCGCTTATTCACTGAAAAGAAGCGCTTACACTCAACCTTAACTATGACAAATGCTATCATTCCAAGTTCGTTGGATTAGCTCTTTCGAGCACTCATTCTGGGCAAGAGATCCACGTCCTAGAGACGAGAAACTCACCTTTCTTTACCCCCCCCCCCCTTAGCATGTCTGATGTCTCAGACTTGTGGGTTGTGCCCCTGTGCACATGATAGTATTATTCACTTCTCCATTAGATACTTCTGACGTTATTCGTTTTTACTCAATCATTAATTTGCCTTTTAGTTGTTATTAATTTGCTGCGAAAATGGACGAAATTGATATTAGGAAAATAAACCACTAATTGTTCTCACTCCTCATTTATCGGTTAAAAATAGTTGAATAGACGGCGAATCCTTTCTGCAATTCATAGAAAGGGACTGTTTTATTAAGAATGCATCATTTTGCCTTACAGACTGTTTCTCTGGAGCCTCTCGGAAGAGGAACTGGCATATTGCAAACTTTTATTGATCTTTGTAATTAAGATAGGGCACTTCCCATCGACGGTCTTGCTAAAGCGAGTTCGCCGTTTTTAACCAAATTTCATTGAGCTATTTATGTTTCCATTGCTTATACCAGAAGTTGAAAAGTATCGTTTGCTAGTAGTTTTTGTCCACCCCCTACTAATGCACTGTTGTTTCTTTTTCAGATTGGCTTTTCTAGCCATTTCTATGGCGTATATCTATTGTCACTTGGAAAATCTTCCCATAAATGATCCTACTTGGACAGTGTTCGGATCATCCCGCAGCAATGTTGGGTCTGGATTCGATTGTCGAGGAGAGTTCGAGAAACTTGTCTCTTCGTTACATTCCCTTTCGGAGACGCTTCAAAAGTTGGAATCCCGTCTAATGGAGGATGAAATGATGACGAATTTGGGAACAGGTCCTTGAAACCGGAGGAGGGCAGAATAGTTGACGAAGCAATGAACCAAGTAATTATGTACCTCCTCTTTCTACTCTCCGAAACACAATCATCTCCACTCCTCCTCCCTCCCTCCCCCCCCCCCCCCCCCCCCCCCCCCCCCCTACCAATCATGTTCTTTCAAAGCTCTTTATTGGCTTCGGATTTACTTAGACAGATACATCTGTCTAAATGTATTCTCTTCAATATGAATGGAATCGATTGAATTCGCACTTTGACCTTTTTTATAATTTTGATGAGATTCTGGCCTGTAGGAAATGTTTCTTGTAGGCGCTATTGCAATACTCAGCTTATATTCATATATCAATAGGTAAACTAGTGTTTTGCATACTAACCAGAAGTTGTTGTACTGGTTGTGTACTAAACAGGCAAGATAATCATAGTGCCCAAAGCTTAATTTCGCGTGCCCTTCCATTCACTTAATACTAAATGAGGATTTATCCTCAATTTAAGGCGGATTGCTTAGAAATGTGGGAGGAGGGGTAACAGTTTTGATACACTAAGACAATTTATTTCAATTGGAATTTTTAATTCCGTTCGCGTTTCGTAATCTTTCTTCGAGCAGTTCGCAGGAGTACATGCTTAGAAATGCTATTTTTCACCAAGAAGCTTAAAGGATTATGCTATGTGTGTCATAACCCGTTTTCGTTAAAGCGCAGTCGATTCCGGCAAGAGGAATTTCCACAACCTTTACCTGCCAACTCCCACAGTCATGTCCTATCTACCCACAGCTCATTGTACCAGTTTCTGTCCTCGGTGTCCCATCCGCTTTCTACTTTTAAAGCTCTCTCAATCTTCTTCTTCATCTTTTATTCACCATTGAAATTATAGCATTACTAAGTCATTCAGCTCGAACTTACTCTAAATATAATACGCCTTACGCACTTTTGCCGGTAATAAAGTTGTGTTTCTTATCACGTGCATTTATTTGCGATGATGCACTTTCCTGATTCAAGGTCGTTTGTATATTGGTTAGAGGCATTTTCTTTCATGGCTGATTTCAAAGAGTTTTTGCAGTTGGCTGAACATTTGCATCTTATGATGCTAGTAAACATTATTTTTATTCATGCTACACGTTTGCTTCACTTAAATACGACTTAAGATAAGTACCTGTCAAGACAGTATTTAGTAGAGTGAAGAAGGGAATTGGAGCATTTTTGTCTTGACGCCTACGTATCAACACCATCGAACTTCGTTTCCATGACAAGTAGGAAAAACCTGGTTGTTCCCAAGAGCAAAACTTTACAATCATTAGCATATTTTTAGTTCTGTTTGAGTTCGGCTGATAACAGAGTCGAACGGGTTTCCAAGCTTGTTTATTGGCTCCATTCATGTTTTTTGAACGCTACGCTAGTAAAGCCTGACCGACTCAGAAATCTCTATGACAGATTCTCCAACATCTAGCTAGACTCCCAGAACAAGCTACGCTATAGCCCAGCTATAAGGGAAACGGACGTGTAGCATGGAATACATGTATTCGGTACGTATATTGGTAGCGAAGTGTAATTTTGGCAAAGCGATTAGTTATCAGATAAATCTAGCATAATTCGCGTGAACATTAATAGCTAAGTGTCTCTGAGTAAGCGGGATTTCAATTGGTCATTGATGAAGTGTCCTACAAACTACACGGAGCGGTTTCAACGTATCTCCCGGGGCTGGCTTTTTCCTAAAATAGATTTGTTCCCATAGCTTTTATATTTTCCTTAAAACCTACAAAAAAGTAGTTGCCAAGACACATTCGCGTATTACTATTTTACGGAATGATTGGCTACTTTAATAGACGAACAAAATTCATCTTCCAATAAATCGATGCGTGTGAAACTTTTCAAGATGACAGTGAGGTACTGCAAAGTCAAATTCGAGTTTCGCACAAAATGTGCTGAGAAAAAGCCTTACAAGATGGACTTGGCCGGTCTGCGGTATTGCCTAGCCAATTCGTATTTTTTTACATTTTTGAGGGCTTCTATTTCACAGTGAGTCTGTGTTAAGGTCATAAAAATCGATGACACTATTTCGAATTCAGGTTTTTTCTCAATTCTGAATTCACCACCTCGGACCAAAAGATTATTTCGGTGTTATATTTTCGTGTTTTTGAAACTCTCTGGAATTGCCAGAGGATATACACTTACGCAATTTTAATTGTGACATCACCTCGATTAACGCAATTCAGTTTTAGTTGGGGGGGGGGGGAGGGGAGTGGAGGTTCTTCAGGTTGTAAAAGCTACAGTCCATCAATTTATTCGAATTCGACTTTATGGAGCTAGAATATGCCTTAAGGACTTAATCAGTACTAAAGAGAGTTAAATATCTTTTTTTAAATTAGAACATCACATATACAGTAAAACATTGCCAAACAGTAGACAGGGGGAGGGGGTTTGGGAATAAAGATAGAAAGAAAGAGCGTATAAAACCCGGAGTGCGAACAACATAGATGACCTAGCTGCGTCACCGCAAGTATAAGAGATTAAAATTAAAAGAGAGGTGAACTGCACTGAATATTCTTCGCTTACGAAACCGCTTGAACGCAAAAATCACTGTTAACAATTAAAAAATTGTATTTACATGTGACTCGGAATTCTTTTAGAGACGATCAGAAGGCAGTCCTTCAATGTTTACAACCATATCTGTTAGGTAATAAATTCGATATTCATCGGCATACTTTCTCATTAATAATTGCTCGTCAGAGAAATTTCAAAAAGCTAGTTCTCCGTCCAATAGAATTTGAGTGTTGGAGTAAGGCACTCTTCAATAGCATGGATCATTATTTCATTGGAGGGGCGTGCGATAGACTTACCTCCACGTGGTGCACCCTGGGCAACGTATACTCATACGGCACAAAAGTCTATTAACTGGCAGTTGACTTCAGACTCCAAACTACCATCAGTCCACTGTATGTCAAATTCGACTACTTCAACCGTACTCATCTCACCCTTTTCCAACTTTGTGTCTGTCCCTTTAACATCTTTGAAACACTCTTCTGGCCCTCCCCCAACTCGACCTTTTTCACCTTCCCATCTGTGAAGCCTGAAGTCAACTAAAGGGCTAATAGTAACTATCAAAACGCCTGCCATTTGATATGAATAAATAAATTTCATTGGAAATATAAAGTTAAAGTGCTATTCCTTTTGTTAGTGATGCCATACCAGCAATGACTTTGCTATTTAAATGAACTGGTAACTATTATAATATTAGAACTTAAGATTTAATGAGAACAGATTTAAAAAGAAGAAATCAAAGTAAATAGAACTATCTTTAATGGATTTTTAAATAAACTTAAGTGTTATTACATTGGATCTAGTGTCAAACTTGTGCCAAATTATCCTATTTCGAATTTACACCAATAGCGATGCGACCTTGAAAATCACCTCATTTTCCCATGTTTTCAAGGTCATAACAGTAAGCGCGCTTGCCTGCACAAAAACAATCCCGGTGATGAATATTTGCCCTGTCCACACCAATGCAATTGTGGGCTTGGGTCGATTTATGAAAGCCAGATGTCGATATTCGAACAACAAAACCAACATGCAAGGGGAGGAAAGCATTTATTTGCATATTTATTTCAACTGAAAGGCTTTGTGATAGTTATCATTAGCTCTTTAACTGACTCTGAGCTTTACAATAGTTGATAGGGGGAAGAGTATAGCGATTCACAGACGTAAAAGAGAGGCAGGCACAATGGTTGAGTGAAAAAGGTAAGATGAGTGCTGTGAACGTGGTTTAACATGGCATAAAGTGGGGAGGAACAGAAGAGTGAATCACAGATGTAAAAGAGAGCCATAAAGGTAGAGAAAAGGAAGGGTGAGTACTTTCTAAGTGTTGGATAATGGCATGCAGTCGGGTGATGGTAGTTTGGAGTCAGAAGTCAACTGCCGGGGGGGGGGGGCGGACGAAAACATTGATCCTCCCAAAACGGCGTTGAATAGGCAACTATAACTGAGGTGCTTTATGTTTTCCAGAAGTCAGTTTTATTGAATTCCGTATATAGAGGGATGGACTACAAATTCTCGTTTTTAAATTATCTGCCAAATTGAAGGAACTAAAAGGACATAAACTTCCTTGTCTTCTAAAATGCGAAAGGTAATTATCATGCATTTCAAGGTACGCCTCTGGATCTCGAGTAATAATAGAAAGAAAGATGAACACGAAGCCTGAATAATTTATAATCATTTTTAAGGAAGAAACTTCCTCTACTTTCTGTAAGGAAGCCATGTGTTTTGTTGAAATGGTAATGAGTGGTATACTGAAAACCTATGCAATACAAAAGGTTGTTTCGATATATTTTACTTAACATTTTAAAAATAGTAGAATTTTATTTTAAACTTGGAATTGTGTGAATATTTGTTAAGAAGATTAAGATGATGAATTTAGATGGTAGTCATTGCACTCAAGTTTATGCATCATCTAAACCATTTAAGATAGGGGTGATCAAATTAAGGTAATTAAAAGATGGATTTTGTAGGAATTATGCTGTAAATTCAAACACTTTTTCATTGCAGTTCTTCACTATTTTCAAAATGAAAGTTGGAAGGAATGACATGAGTCACTCAGTTTTGTACGAGTCAGACCAAACAAAATACTTCACTTCTAGTCGTAATTTCGAGAAAAATCATCATATTCTTGACAAATTTATTTATTTATTGCAACTGGTAGGCTTTATGATAGTTATCATTAGACATTAAGCTGACTTTGGGCTTCACAGAGAGGAGGAGGAGGAGGAGGAACATCAAAGTGACTAAAGTTGAGAGGAGGGACAGAATAATGATTAACAGTTGTGAAAGAGTCAGGCAGACACTAGGGCAGAGAAAAGGTAAGATGAGAATAGTGAAAGGGCTACAGTGGGGTCGTGGTAGTTTGAAGTCAGAAGTCAACTGCTGGTTTATAGACTTTTTTGGCCGTATGAATGTACGTTGACTAGAGTGCACCACTTGGAGGTAAGTCTATTGCATATCCCTTCTTTACAAATTTAAAC